TCCAGAGGAAGCCTGCCCTGCCACCTGCCCTCAGCAGCATGGAGAGGCTCCCTCCTCCTGTACTTCTGTAGGGGCTTTAAAAGTAACAGCAAAGTTGCACATCTGTTTTCAGTGTGAGCCCACTCTGGTTTCTATGTGCTGGGGGCCTCCTTTAAATGAGGAATTCCTTTAATGCCTTAAAAAAAAAAGCAGTTAATATTCATGCCGAGGTCACTGGGATTATTTATTCATTTAAAATTTTCAATATACAGATGTTTATGTGTTTCATTATAAATGCAACACATGGTCACCATGGCAAATTTAGAAGGTACTAGAAAAGTGGAGGAAAGAAAGAAATCATACATTGTCACTGTTTATACATTTTATTCTGGCTGAGGCTTTTTGTTTAAGGAGTAGGGATCTGGATGATGTATGGAGGATCTTCAAAAGTTCATGGGAAATGCATGTTATGAAAAACTATGCAATGATTTCAAATTTTTTGCACGGAAATAAACTTGTCTTTTAATTCATTTTTCCATAAACTTTCAAAAGCACCCTCAAATATCTGTAGATCTGTATGATATCTAGATCTGTTATATGTATGTGTGTGAGTGTGTATATGTACATTTCTGTGCACTTCTACAGCTCTCCAGTCTCCATAGCTTTCCAGCACCATTTTTGATGGTGTCATAATATTACATCATATCAACGTATGCACTTTTCTTTCTTTCTTTTTTAATTTTATTTTATTTTGGACAGGCAGAGTTAGACAGTGAGAGAGAGAGAGGCAGAGAGAAAGGGCTTCCTTCCATTGGTTCACTCCCCAAGTGACCACTGTGGCCGGTGCTGCGCCGATCCGAAGCCAGGAGCCAGGTGCTTCTCCTGGTCTCCCATGTGGGTGCAGGGCCCAAGCACTTGGGCCGTCCTCCACTGTACTCCAGGGCCACAGCAGAGAGCTGGACTGGAAGAGGAGCAACCAGGACAGAACTGGTGCCCTAACCGGGACTAGAACCCGGTGTGCCGGTATTGCAGGTGGAGGATTAGCCAAGTGAGCTGCGGCGCTGGCCAACGTATGCACTTTTAAAGATCATTTTCCCAGTATTTGACACTTTGACTACATTGAATTTTGTTATAAATAGTATATATCTTTGTAAGCACAGCTCTTTAAAATTGAGGATTTTTCTGTAAGTTAGATTCCTAACAGTGGAAATATGGAGCCATGGGGAGTAGACATACGTTTTAGCCTCTTCACCAGCTCTATTCACAAGGATTGCTCCCCTCTGCCTCCCATGTATTGTGCAAGGAAAGACCCCTGACCCAAGGCCCTTGCCTGAACTCTGTCTTTACAGGTGGCTTTTTTTTCTATTAAGGCCATTTGGGACAGAACATGGTATATATTGCCTGTATTTTAGCCTCAATAGGTGACTATGGGTTCTTGAGTTATTTATGACCAATGGAATAAATAACCAAATAATGAGATGCTTATTATTTATTCAGGTTTCAGCGTCCAGGAAGCATTGACCAGGATTTTAACAGCAACAGCAGCAACAATACCTCAGCAACCCCTGCTGGCCAGCCTTTGACACCTTCTCCCTGGAAGTGAATCTGTATGCTTGGAGTTAATGCAAGAAAAGTTATCAGGGAAGTTTTGGGAATATGAAGATATATACATTTTAGGGAATGAAGGTTTTTAAAATAAATGACATTGTCTACAGAATTATTTTAAATGTTACGACCCCTGACTTTCACATTGATGAGCAAAGAAAGCTTGAAGAATCTGCTGTAGAAATTTTTTCAAATGTATACATTTTATTACTTGTTATCCTGTTTTAGGAGAAACAGAAAACAATAGGTGATTGTTTCCTCATGTGCCTTACTCATAAATGTCTGTTAGCTGCTTTCACACATGTTTTTGAGCCTGCCCCAGTATGCCATCAGGGTGGTACACTTGAGTAGAGAAATCGTTTTAGATCTTGCCTTTATATTTGATTATGCCTTTATGACGCCATTTAAAAGTAATTTGTGTTTAACTGCCAGATGCAACACCTGGAATTCCAACAAGATCAAGAAGAAATGGAATTTTTTTAAAAAAGAGAATGACATTTTGAGAATAAAAGTGGGAGGAAGAAAGCACAAACATTTTTAGGTGTAAATAATTTTTGTAATGAAAACAGATGAACTATCTTAATGTGATAAGCGAAAATTCTCACTGAATTAACACATAAATGAATTAACTCACTTGGAATTCTTGTGGCTTCTGCATTAACAATAAATGTGAATCTTGGTCCCATGTTTTTCTTTGGTATTTATTATGAGTCTGTTTCCAGGGTTTTGTTCGGTTTATTCGAGAACATGCGTCACTGTCAATCATTTTTTCCTGACTGTTTCTGATCGCCTTCAGGAATGCAGCCCAACTCCACAGGCACTGCCTGCTGTAGCGTGGGGGTGGAAGCCGGGGAGCACCATGAACTGTGGGCTCACAGGTGGCAGGTCGGAGGCGCATGGCCAGTGCCTGTCCAGAGACTTCTTACTGGTCAGTGAGCAGTTGCTCTTCCTCCTTTCTCCATTTTTCCTTTGCTGGGACTGAATTTAACTTCAGTTTTCCTGTGTTTTACTCTGTGATGTAAAACTGCCCGGTGAGCTGTATCCCCAGGTAAGTTTTAGAAGTGATGGCACTGAAAATTCATGCTAACTTTAGCACTGACTATTGAAAGAGGCCAGCGCTGTGGTGTAGTAGGCTAAGCCCCTGCCTTTGACATTCATATGGGTACCAGTTCATGTCATGGCTGCCCCTCTTCCAATCCAACTCTCTGCTAATGGCCTGGGCAAGCAGCGGATGATAGCCCAAGTGCTTGGGCCCCTGTGGGAGATGCAGAAGAAGCTCCTGGCTCCTGGCTTTGGATTGGCCCAGCTCTGGCCATTTTGTGGCCATTTAGGGAGTGAACCTACTAATGGAAGACTATTATCTCTCTACTTCTCTCTATCTGTAACTCTACCTCTCAAATAAATATTCTAAAAAAAGAGAAATAGTCCATTTTTTCCTTTCCAGTGTCAGAGAGAAATTAGGGAGGGGGGTAAACAAATACACACATGGTGCTTCCTAGGGGTCTTTCTGGAGAAGGTGGAGATCAAGTCCTGGGTCACGCTGACAGGTGCCACTTGGCACGCTGCTCCCAGTGGCACACACTGCCAAGCCCCTTCTCCCTCATCTTATTCTGGAAGACGCGCTATCACCGAGGGCTTCCCCCATTTGGAGCAGCAGGCACTCGAATGCACTTGGAATATAATTTCTGGGTTTCACAGGAGTTGGGAGAGGGTAAGGGTGACCTGGGTCTGGAAGAGAAAAGATTAGGACAGGTAGAATCTGTGCAGGCCTAGACACTGATGGTGAGGAACAACATTCCAGAAAGACAAATCCTGCTTGAGACCCTAAAGGCCTTGAAGGGGGTTGCCAGCTGGGTAAGAGCATTTATCTCCTTCGGGGACCTGCCCTTCTCTGGTTGGAGACACTGTCCATCTGAGTGGACAATTCTGGCCAGTATTGAGACACACACTCGTGGCCCCCAGGGCCCTGGCTGAGCTGCACCCAACAGACTCTCTTGACCAAACTGTAGGCAGGCTCCTCTGCCCAGCTTCTCTTCTTTAAATATTTACTTTATTGATTTGAAATGTAAAGTGGCAGAGAGAGAGAGGGAGAGACAGAGAAAGAGATCTTCCATCTGCCGGTTCATGCTTCAAATGGCTGCAATGGCCAGGGCTGAGCCAACAGAAAGCCAGGAGCTAGGAATTCCTTGAGGGTCTCCCCATGGGCTGCAGGGGACCAAATACTTGGCCTATGTTCCTTCGCTTTCCCAGGTGCACCAGCAGGGAGTTGGATCAGAAGCAGAGCATCTGGGACCCCAACCCGTGCTCTGATATGGGATGTGGTAGCTTAACCTGCCGCTGTGTAAAGGCTGGCTCCGTGAGCCTCCTGTTGAGCAGGCCTGGAGGTTGGTCCCACTGCCCCAACCCCAACCCTGATGGGCCTGCAGAGCTTTGTTGTAGCAAGAATCCTGCTAAGGTTAGAAAGAATCCTTCCCCTCAGTTGATCCCTCATCACCACTGATGGCAGCTCAAATTCTTCCTCTCAGCTTCAATGTGTAAGCGTGTGGCCTGCCATCAGCAAGCATCTTGTGAAGTGTGTAGCAAGGATCCGGCTGTCCGTCACAGTCTTGGTGAATATCCACCACTGACCACCTCACTCTGCTTCTTGTTCATAAGCCCCTGCTGTCTTTGCCGTTTTCGGAGTTGAGCCCCATTTCTCTCCCCTACTGTAATACCCCAATTGCAAAAGTCTTGAGCAAAGCTTTCCTTGTGTTTGAACAGCATGAGAATAATCTTTTCTTTAACAATCTGACTCCTACACAGCCCTCACTGTAGCGGCTGGCCTGGTTTGAAATATGACCTGATTTCGAAGTGTCGAGTGACTGCAGGGCCTGACCACACTCCCTCTGCTCCAAAGCAGCCCAGGGAACTTGTGCCCGTCCATGACCCCTCGGACGCAGCCTGGGCAAGCAGCGGATGATAGCCCAAGTGCTTGGGCCCCTGTGGGAGAGAACGAGCCAAGGCCTCGTTCGCGGAGGAGGGGACCAAGTCGGTATCCCGCAGGGGGCGCTGCCTGTCCGTCCGGCAAGGTCCGGGTCGAATTCCACAGCCTTTGGATCCCTACTGCCAGGAACGACCCTAGGCCCTGAGCGGTTCGCGGCAGCGCGGGCGAGGACCCCCGAACACGCTGTGTGGGACAGGCTGTGCCAACCCGCTGCCCGACTCTCCACAAGAGACGCAGCTGGCTGTCCGCTGCCTGATCTCTAATTTCAGAGTCACATTTTGTTTATTCTGGGTCAACTAAACCACCCCACAAACATAAATGAGCTGTTCGCTTGCAGCGATCAAGAGAGCAGTCACTTCGCCAAGCAGCTGCAGGCGGCGGCAGGCGGGGGAGGCCGGCGCCACCCGCGTGGAAGCCAGCATTACCGCCAACCGCCAGGAGAAGGGCGCACCGCTCCCATTGGCCCGGAAGGGGTTCAGGTGCTGGCTGCCCTTTGGGCTCGGGGCAGAGACCAAGAGTTCTCACGAGGGCGGGCAAACCGCAGCGCCTTGTCCTCGCCGTCGCCTTGCACCCGCGCACGCTGCGCCCCTGCGAGTTCCTGCCGCGCACGCTTGCGCTCGGCCATGGGCGCCGCAGGCTCGTCGGTGCTGGCCCGCTTCCGCCTCCCCACGCAATCCCGGCCCGGGTGGCTCGGGGTCGCCGCCGTGGGTCTGGCAGCAGTGGCGCTGGGGGCCGTGGCCTGGCGCCGCGCGCGGCCCGGGCGGCGCCGGCGCCTGCAGCAGGTGGGCACCGTGGCGCAGCTCTGGATCTACCCGGTCAAGTCCTGCAAAGGGGTGCCGGTGAGCGCGGCGGAGTGCACGGCCATGGGGCTGCGCAGCGGCCACCTGCGGGACAGGTACGGCAGGGCCCGGTTGCGGCACAGCGCTGACTCCGCTTGGGCAGCTGGGAAGACGTGCGGAGTCCGCTAACAGGTCTTCCTCCCGTCCAGAGAAACTGGGAGCAGAGTGGGACAAGGGAAAAGGGAAACGGTGGTCCTACCACCTCCCCTCCCCTACCCGGCAGGCCCCGGGGCTCTGGAGTGGCTCCGAGTAAAGTTTCCAACTCTGGGTCTTTAGCGTCGTGCGCTCCTGAGATGTGTGGAATTCGTGTCTGCCAGCGGGCACGCGAATTTATGATTCTCCGTGTACCTGGGTGGCGAGCTCCAAGGCCTCAGTTTATTTTATTTGCAGTGTTTTATTTGTAGTGCCTGTTCCTGGAGATCTTGAGGGAAAATTGGAGCAGCAGAGCCCAGCCCTCCGCGAGCGCGCAGAGGCGGAGCACGTGTAACCAGCGCGGCTGAATCCCTTTCGGAGCCTGGCCCGCTACTGCGGATGTTCTTTCTTTTTTTTTTTTTTTTAAATGTATTTTATTTAGGTTATACAAGTTTCATATATTTCCTTTATACCATCCAGTGAAGCCCTCTTTTGTTGATAAAGTAACTGAGGTCCCAGCTGGATCGGACCCCTCCTCCTTTTTGTTTTTCGATTTTTTTTTTTTTAAAGCACACCGGGACTTTGCAAATGGTGATTTCGTTATTGTCCAGTCTGGATGGTGAGGAGCTGTGTGTGGATTCCTGGGACTTAGACCCCGGAGCCAGCAGGTGGTTATTCTGTTTGGGTTCAGAGCTCAGGTCAGGCCAGCTCCATTCTCTGTGTAAGGCTGCCTCCTCTCCAGTGCACAGCTCTGACCAGGCACCCAGAGAGCAATTCATGACTTAAGTGAAAGGTGAGCTATGCTCCTGTGCTTTGGGAAGGGAGCCAGGAATTGTAACTATCCATGGTTTGGACAAGAGACTCTCAAACTTGCTTGATTGAGCTTGTTTCTGTAGGTCCTAGGGGACAAAGGCCTTGTGATTTTACAGTGTTGTTCTCAAAAGCATTTGTTGCATTCGTGTGACAATTGCTGTCTCTAAGAGCTGATGTTTGTACCAGGAGCTATGGTCAGTTTTTGATACTCTCAGAAAGTGTGACAAAGAGAAGTCGAGGTAGGCTTGGGGTCCTAGGTGGTAACTAACCCAGCAGGGGTTGTGACAAGAGCTGGAGAGCAGGCAGGAGCAGCGGAAGCTGGCAGGGACAGCTAAGAGAGGAAGTAGCAGCTTGCACTGAAAATTGGACAATGAGCGTAAACTTTCCAGGCAAGAAATTTGGAAGAAGAACATTCTAGATAGAGGGAATAAACTGGGCACAGACACCCAGAGAGGACAGGGGATGCTGGGGGAAAAGCTAGCATGTGCTCAGGTGTTCAGTAAAAGGAGTTGGAAACAAGGGTTCACCTCGGATGTCCATTGCAGCATCGTTCACAATTGTCAAAAGGGGAATCAGCTCCAGTGTTCTTTGATGAGTGAGCTGAGAAACAAAATACACACGTGATGGAGTATTATTCAGCCGTGAAAGGGGTGCAGTTTGGATTTGTGCTGTAAAGTGAATGGCTCTTGAAACATAATATTGATTGAAATAAGCCATTTGCAAGAAGGCAAGTGTTGTGTGATTCCAAGTCCTAGAGACAGGAAGTGTGTTAGAGGTTACCAGGGCCTGGAGGGGGACTGACTGGGGGGGGGGGGGGGACATGGTGGTTCTTACTTAACAGGTTCAGAGTTTCTGCTTGGGATGATGAAAAGGTCTTTGGAAATAGTGATGACGGTTGCAAAACCGTGTGTGTGCACTCAGTGCCACTGAGTTGTGCCCCTCAAAATGGTTCATCATATTTAAAAATGAACATCCTTTGTTGATAGACATTTGTGTTGTTTCTGCTTTTTGCCATTGTAACACAGCAGTGAACATTCATAAAGCAGTAGCTTGTGGAATCCTGTTTTCAATTCTTCTGGATCTATACCTAGGAGTATACCAGATATTTTATGTTATACAAGGGTACTTCAAAAGGTTTGTGGAAAATCTGAATTAAAAGATAAGATATTTTGGTGATAAAAATGTTTTTTTTCTAATTTTTTAATTTTTAAATTTTTTTAAAATTTTTTGACAGGTAGAGTGGACAGAGAGAGAGAGACAGAGAGAAAGGTCTTCCTTTGCCGTTGGTTCACCCTCCAATGGCCGCCGCAGCCGGCGTGCTGCGGCCGGCGCACCGCGCTGATCCGATGGCAGGAGCCAGGTGCTTATCCTGGTCTCCCATGGGGTGCAGGGCCCAAGCACTTGGGCCATCCTCCACTGCACTCCCGGGCCACAGCAGAGAGCTGGCCTGGAAGAGGGGCAACCGGGACAGAATCTGGTGCCCCGACCGGGACTAGAACCTGGTGTGCTGGCGCCGCAAGGTGGAGGATTAGCCTAGTGAGCCGTGGCGCTGGTGATAAAAATGTTTTGAAATTCATGCATAGCTTGTTCATAATATGCGTTTTCCATGAACTCTTTGAAGAGCCCCTGGCTGCCTGTGTTTCAAATGTTTTGTGTGCGAAGGCACAAGGAGGTAAGAGTGCCTGGAAATGCAGCCGGATCATGAAAGGCCCCGCCGGTCTAGCTTGAGTTACAATTTGGTGGCAAGTGTTGTGAAGCAGTCCTCACTGGGAAGCCTGAATCCTGTATCCGATTGCTGGTTCTTGCCCCAGCCACTGTTTCCAATCTAGCATTCCTGCTAATGTACCTCGGAGGCAGCACCTGGTGGGTGGCCCAAGTACTTGGGTTCCTGCCACCCAAGTGGGAGACCCAAGTAGAGTTCCTGGTGGATTCGGCCTTGCCCAGCATGACTGTTGTGGACATGGGAGGAACTAAACCAGTGGAAGATCTCTGTCTCATTCCTCATCCCTCCCTCCCCCTCCATATTACTCTGACTTTCAAATATGTACAAAAACACAAATAAGTAAAACTTTTAAAATGAGTTTTATCCTAAAGCAGGAACCATGCAGGGATTTTTGGATGAGGAGATCACAAGATCAGATTTGCATTTTACAAAGATCAGAGGGCCATTATTACCAGGAAGAATTACTAGAAAGAATACTCATTTTCTGGTACCAAAGATTTGGGATAGGGCAGGCAGGGCTCTGTCTGTGGAAGAAGAAGGGTTGATAAAAGGATAGTTAGGAAAAGAATTTACACCAACATATTTTCTTCCTGAATAGCTCAGCCAAGATAACCTGCTAGAAGTGATGCAGGAAATATCTTTAATGACCTAAAATATCCTCCAGATCTTTTCTTATGTATAGGAATCCCAAAGCAAAAACTCAGTTGTATGCTTGTAATCATTCCATCAGTGTGCGCTGAAATGATTAAAATGCTAAGAAATTTCACCTCTTTGTATGGAGAGGTAACCTTCATAACCATGTTCTTTTTCCAGAAATAGTTCTTTGTATTTCTTTATTTCTCCATTCATCTGTTTTTCTAGAAAGTACCTTTAGAACAGGAGTACTGGGTCAGAAAAGAAGATATTGTCCATAATAACAACAGATCTTTTTGCAAATTGCAAAATTCATAGCACTGGATATTGAAGCATTATTTTAAATGTGGGGGGGGGGTTGGAATTGATAAGGTGAAAGTGGCACCGTGTGCTGCCCAACTGAACTCCGTGCTCTGTGACAGTGCAAGCATTGGTGCTGCTGTTTCCATCTACAAGAGGCCATTGCCTGCTGGGTGACAGACACGGTGCTTCCTTGTGCCCCTGAACTCTCCCTGGGGTATGTTTAGTGGAAATGGCCCAGCTTTCTGGCCATTGAGATGAAGACAGAATCAATGTCTTTGATTTCGGTGCCATCAACAAGCTGAAAATGTTCTGAAGGTATTATAGTCAGATGCTTGAGTGGTTAAGAAACTTGGAGTTGATGGACTCAGCTGAGCTGATGTTTAGCACAGATGGGCAGATACAATAGATTTAGAGGGAGGAAATCAGAAACGACAGTGCATGACTGAAGCTCCCGCGAAACTGGCTGCCTGTCCTTACATATCCTGTGTTTTCAACATGGCAGGTTTTGGCTTGTGGTCAATGAAGAGGGCAACATGGTTACCGCTCGCCAGGAACCTCGCCTGGTTCTGATCTCCCTGACCTGTGACAGTGACACCCTGACTCTCAGCGCAGCGTACACAAAGGACCTGGTGCTGCCCATCAGAACACCCACCACCAATGCAGTGCGCCAGTGCAGGTAAGGCAAGGGCAGGTCTTACCCTTGCATCAATAAAGATTCATGCAACTTTGAAAAAAATGTGGCAAATATAGCATATGCAGGATCGAGTCTTTAGCATGGGAAAGAAACCAGCAAGCAACTTCTGCTGTGAAAACCATGGGACAAAAGCGTGTCTACATGTCAGCAAGAGAACACCACCACCACCAAAGGTGAAGGGCAAAGCCTGAGTGGCAGTGCTGGGGAGCCCGTCCTAGAACCAGGGAGATTAGATCTCCGTGATATATACCTAAGACCCTCTCAGCTGTGTTTGGAAACTGGGTGCCTTCCAAATCGGAGTTAGGGGAGGAGTGGCTGTGTTGACTCTGATAGTGAGTTCTAAAGAGAGGAAGTTCAAATAAAGGAAAGAGCTGCAATCAGAACAGTGCTCCTACTTGCACCTGCCCCTGGGGGTGGGGGTGGGGTTTGGGGGGGGTGGGGGTGGGGGTGGGGGGGTGGAGGTTCAGCTGGGCAGGGCGCTGTTGCAGAACTCGTTTGCTCAATATCAGAGGGCTGTGAGGAAGCAGTCTAGGAAAACCACCTTTGCCCCTGAGAAACCTTGTGTAGGATTAATCTTTCATCCCACTGTGGGGACATTAAAGTTTGGTCCAATTTTGCTCTTGTTACATTTTCTGTATTTTGAATTAAAATGTGAATGCTACCTGTAGTCCTTAGCTTATCATAGGAAGTAACATCATCACATCAGAGAACAGTGATCTGAAAAATGTCTGAAGACTGAAATGTTCATAAAATGTAATACTGATCTGATTTCTATATCTTACAGTTTTAAACATAAATGTTTTTATTTTAATTTGGTGGTTTTTCTGATTATAAAATTAATACATTGTTTAAAAATTTGAAAATGGTCCCCAAAAAGGAGGAAAGCAAAAACCATCTGCAAAACTATAATTAATATATATATTTTTTGACAGGCAGAGTGGATAGTGAGAGAGAGAGACAGAGAGAAAGGTCTTCCTTTGCCGTTGGTTCACCCTCCAATGGCTGCTGCGGCTGGCGCGCTGCAGTCAGTGCACCGCGCTAATCCGATGGCAGGAGCCAGGTACTTATCCTGGTTTCCCATGGGGTGCAGGGCCCAAGGACTTGGGCCGTCCTCCACTGCCTTCCCGGGCCGCAGCAGAGAGCTGGCCTGGAAGAGGGGCAACTGGGAAAGAATCCGGCGCCCCGACTGGGACTAGAACTGGGTGTGCCGGTGCCGCTAGGTGGAGGATTAGCCTATTGAGCCGCGGCGCCGGCCCTATAATTAATATTTTGACATACATGTATTTCTCTCTGTCTCTATGGCTACTACTTTGCTTGCTTCTGAAATTAATTTACTTGAAAAGCAGAGTGACAGACACACAGAGAGAGCAAGAGAGAGTGGGAGAGAGCAGCCCCATCTTCCAATTTACTCCCTAGGTGCCTGCAACAGCCAAGGCTAAAGCTAGGAGCCCAGAACTGAACCTGGGTCTTCCACGGGGTTGGCAGGAACCCACGTACTTGGGGCATCATCTGCTGCTTCCAGGGTGTGCATTAGCAGGAAGCTAGATTGGAAAAGGAATAGCCCAGACTGGAACCAGGCATTCCAACATTGGGATGCAGGCCATTCCTTGGCAGACTTAACTGCTGTGCTGAATGCCTATCCCAACCGTACTTTCTTATAGTTAAGTTTTTTTTTTTATTAATTTTTAATTCATTTGGAATTATGTGCAAAATTTTTCTCACAGTCCCATATATGCTTTTTGGCTTATCCTCCAAAGACTAAACAAGGAAGTGTCTGAAAATTTGCCAAATCAGAAGGCCAAGACACACTACAGTAGTGGGCACACTCAGTGCAAGGATCTGGGCTTGGGTTTCCTTCCCCTGTGAAGGACTTGTAACCTCAGCTTGACGTTCCCTAGAAGTTTCTGATGAGTTGTTGGAGTCCTGGGATCACCTTCAAAAACTCATGTTTTCACGGTTCAGGTTGCTACTTGCCTGCCACTTAATAGGATGAGGGAGTAGGCTCTTCAGGTGGCTTAGTCAGTATCAGCATCGAAGCCTGCCTTGTGATCTTCATCAAAGGTATTAGAAGCCTCTGGATTTTTTTTTTTCTGGGACTCTGTATAGTGTGCAGGTGGAATGCTGGGCCCAACACCACAGCTGAGGTTGCTCAGAACTCAGGGAAAATATGGGTAGAGCAGGAATAAGAGAACAAATTTTGCTCACTGAATAGCCTCACCTTCTGAATCCAGGACCTACACATTGAGATGCATGGGAAATAAATGTCAGGTAACTGGAAACGTTAGCAATGGTAGTGATCGCCAATGGAAGCCCTGAGGAGTCTCAGCAACCTGCTGTCTACATCCTCTGCCCTGCCCTCTGCCGTCCTGTAAATGCAGCCAAGGAGAGTGCTGGGCTGCTGATGGACGGGACAGAGAGGGGCCTGTGGTGCGCTGAAAGGGCCAGTCTCTTGGCAAGGAGGGCTGACTTTTTTGCACAGTCACCCGCAAAGATGCATCTACTTAAGATGGCTTTTGAGGCCATCGGTAAACAGAGATTTTGGTAATACTGCCTTTGTCCAAGATGCTTCTGAAATGAACATTTTAGATATTAAACTGTACCTGTGCATGTGCACACACACACACACACACACCACCCCACAGAGGCTAACCCTCTTACACATAGGCAGTTCTGGAAATCTTTTCTCTCGTGCAGTGAATTTGATTTTTGGAAAAAGTGAAAAAGTATTTGGGACTTAGTGCAGTGAATAAGGAGGTGATCAAACTATGTTGAACAGTATTTTGTTTTTAAAAGGAGGCCAAGATGGGCATTTGTACAAGGGTTAAGATGCTGCTTAGGATGCCCTATCCCACATGGAGTGCCTGGTTTGAGCGCCAGCTCTGGTTCTGATTCCAGCTTCCTGCTGATGCACACCTGGGAAGCAGCAGGGGTTGCCTTGAATACCTGGGTTTCTGATATCCATGTGGAAGACCCAGATTGAATTCCAGGCTCCTGACATGACTGTGTGTCCCCAGATCCTACATAGTTACTAACCAGCAACCATATCCAATTGAATTATTGTTATCTATAACATTTTAGGGTTTATAGAATGTTTTCACAGATGTTTCATATCTAGTTTTATTATTACACTGACAAAGTATAACCAGGCCCATTAATAATGATTTCTGACTGCTGTTCTGTGGACAGATTCACATTTTAAGGTAATTATGAGTTTGCTTTATCCTGATAGATTAGTTTTCTTCTGTAGAATTCAGTACATCTTCAAATGTATTATCTTGTTGCATCTTCCCTGCATCCCTCTGGGTGGGGAGACATAGATATCTTTCAGTTTATTAAAAAATGGGGAAAGCAGAGCAGGTGTCTGGCGGAGCAGTGAAGACATGGCTGTGACACCGACTCCCGCATTTCAGTGCCTAGGTGTGATGTCAGCCCTGCTTCCAATTCAGCTTCCTGCTAGGGCACATCCTGAGTGGCAGCAAGTGATGGCTCAAGTGACTGAGTCTTTGCCACAGTGTGGGAGACCTGGGTTGAGTTCCTGGCTCCTTACTTCAGCCTGGCTGTTGATGGCATTCTGGGAGTGAACCAGTAGGCAGGAGCACTTTCTGTCTCTGTCTTTCAAATAAATAAAATAAGCTTTTTTTTTTTTTTTAATGTGGACAGCAAGGCTTCGAATGGTGGTGCCTTGTGTTCCCTTTGGGCTGACACAGGGCTTCCAAGGCAGGGCTGGACGTGGATGATGTCTTCCGGTCATGAAGGGATGCCTGCAGCATCCCAGCTGGGTGCAGCTTTTCTGAAAAGTCTGGGATATATTAGGTGGCCAGATGTTCAAAGCCACTGTCTCCCCCTGCAGAGTGCATGGCCTGGATGTCCCGGGCAGGGACTGTGGCGAGGCAGCGGCACAGTGGGTCACCAGTTTCCTCAAGTCGCAGCCCTACCGCCTGGTGCACTTCGAGCCCCAGATGTGCCCGAGGAAGTCTCACCAGCTCAAGCACGTCTTCCGGCCCTCGGATGAGGTGAGAGACACTGCTTCCTCCCAGCCCACATCCCTGACGAACCTGGTGCCCTCATCTTGCTCCTCGTGCTCAGGCAGCTGAGACCACGGGCAGCAGCAGCAGCAAGCAAGCCCTTCCCTGGGGAGCAGTCGTCCTGCTTCTTGACTTTGGCGATGCTTGCGTTTCCGCCCATATGCATTTCCCCTCTGTGTGTAAGCAGCGTGGTGTCCACAGGGATTCAGGGCTGTTCGACACGACACTGTTTTTCACTCCACTCCGGAAGTGCACGTGGAGTTCCAGATTCTCGGGTTGCTCTTTTGTGCCAGTTGCCATTTGTATAATTTGGTGTGGCTGTGGAGTTCCACAGACTTCAGACGACCAGACTGGTTCTGAAAAAGTGAGGCTCTGAGGATTCACTGTGAAAGTAACATTTTTGGCCTACTCAGCTCGGTATGGATCTTGATTTCCCTTTCTCCTTTAGATAGAGCCCTCACTCTCCTATGCATTTCTCTCACTAAATAAAAAGCTTAAATTTTTTTTAAAAAAAATAGAGCCAACCTATGTTCTTGACATTAATTTGGCAGGGTTTATAAAATATAAGTGTCCCTGGAATTAGTGAACATTTTAATCAAACATAATGAGATCATTAAACCCAACGTCCTTATTAAACATTGGAGAAATTGGAGGCTTACCAAAGGGATGTTCCCAAGGACACATCCTGGTAGCAACTCTCAGTCCCCAAGGCCATGCTCTCCTCATGCCACTGCACAACTGCTGTCATCCGCCAGTCTACTTAGGGCTTCTAAATCACTGTGACTTTTCTGTGTAAAAGGACAAGAGAAACACCTAGAACTGTGTGTGTGGAAGGAAGGTATGTCCAGGAGCTAGAAATATGTGACCTCTGAGCAGTTTCTGTCCTAGTTTTAACAGTTTCTGTTTCCCTGTCAGGTTGCGTACTCAGATGTCAGCCCGTTCCTGATCCTTTCTGAGGCATCCTTGGCAGATCTCAACTCCAGGCTACAGAATAAAGTTAAGGCAGCTAACTTCAGACCCAATATTGTCATATCAGGATGTGGTGTGTATGCAGAGGTAACACTTTCTTTACCTCTTTTCTTGAACTTGACCTTTTTTTTTTTTTAAGATAGGAGGGGAGTCTTTGACATTGGATTAGATTATTCCGAAGGGTGTGTTATGATTTATTGATTTTATACCTCATGACTCAACTTGTAGATTTGTTGAGTACATGTTAAGTGCAGAGCTCCATGTGGGGCATGCAAATATGGGTGAGGCCGAGATGCTGATCCTCCAGGAGGCAGTTCAGGATCTGAGGCTTTTAGGCAAAACCTGAGAGGGGAGATTCATTTCTGAGACAGATTTCCTCAGCATAGAATATGGGATCTGCATGGGCTGTGGAACAAATCAACTGTGTGCTTATGTCTTGTGAAAGCCGGGCTTCCTGGCTAGTAGGTGACTCCCTTGGGAAAGACCAGTATTACCAGCCAGGCTGTCTGGTGAGGGCTGCAGGGTGTTAGCGCTAAGCTTGATGGCACTGCCCTGAACCTTCAGTGCCACCTTCAGATGTCTGTATTGCAACTTGGCATGAAGAGTCTTGAGGCCTGGTTGCCAGTGTCCCATGTGATTGGCAGCAGTTCCCCTTTATCCTTGGCTTTGGATGGTTAATGTGATTCTCTAGTCTACTGCAAAGTCAGGAGTGGTAGAATAGAGGCTTGGTGAGTGGTCCTCAGCTGTGGAGGTACAGCAGGGGCCCTAGCCCTCAGATGGGCATTCAGGAGTTCTGGTTGTGCCCCACCCTGCTGCCCCTTTCCTTGGGACCCACAGAAAAGAAATCCAAGCAATCGAGTTCCAACACCTTTTACTCGGGGGAACCTATTCTGTTTTTCAACTTTGCTGCGTGGAGGCAACAGGGTGTGCTGAAAGGGAAGCCATCTAGGAATTCCCACATTTAAACCAGAGAGGATCCTTTTAAACAATTATGTATTTATTTGAAAGACAGAATTACAGAGAGACAGGGAGAGAGGGAGAGAGGGAGGGAGGGAGGGAGAGAAAAAGAGAGAGAGAGGGAGGGAGATCCTCCATCTGCTGGTTGACTCCCCACGTGGCCTCAACAGCCAGGACTGGGCCAGGCCAAAACCAGGAGCCCAGAGCTTCTTCCAGGTCTTATATGTGGGTGCATGGGCCCAAGCACTTGGGCCATCTTCTGCTGCTTTCCCAGGCACATTAGCAGGGAGCTGGATTGGAAGTGGAGTAGCCAGGACAAGAACTAGCACCCGTATGGGATGCTGTGTCACAGGTGGCAGTTTAACCCGCTAAGCCACATTCGCTGGCCCCACACCAGAGGATCTGAAGTCTGGTTTCAGCTTCCTCACTGACCTCTATGTGACCTTGTGCAGTTCTCTCACTCTTCCTTATCTCATCTGGAAAATGGGTCACCTTATAGTGTGGACTCATCAGCTGGAGTAAGGTGGTTTATGAAATATGTAAATACAACACCAATTGAAGGGTAATAAAAGTACCCCGAATCCACCTATGATTCTTTATAGAAGAAACACAGGTGCTTCTCCCAGGGCCTTAAAGTCCAGCGTGATCAGAGAGGCAACAGTAACAGCCAAGTGAGATGAGGGCAAGAAGATGGTGCCTGGCCTGCCACGGGACACAGTATACACAGACAGGGAGGTGTGAGCTCAAGTCAAGGCTGGAGCTGCCAGGGCTCAGCCTGGGTCCTTTTTTACCTGCCCACATGTGTGGTTCTAATCTGTGATTTTCACAAAACCTTTTCTACACTGAGGACGCTCCGACTTACATCCCTACACCAGGACTCTCCCACAGCTCTCTCCACACCTGCACCAGGGTGGATTCATCCAGTCTCACGGTGTTCGGGATGGAAGGTAGACCTTCTGCCCCGCTTACCATCATGATAGGTGGCAGCTCTGACTTTCAGTTGCTTGGACCCCAAACTTGGAGCTGCCCCTTGTTTTTCCCTTTCTTTCACAGCTCACATTCACACGATGGACAAATCTTGGTGGCTGTGCCCTCTGCTCCTCCTCCACTCCCTCTCTGGGCCAAGGCGTGGCCACCCCTCTTCTCTTAGGTGTAACAGCCTCTCCTCAGTGGTCTCCCTGCTTGTCTCCTTACCCACCCCTACCCCAATATGTGCTTAGAAGCTTGGTCAAAATCATCCTGTAAATGTGAGTTGCATCATATTCTGCTCATAACCTTTCAGGGTTCTCCATCTTTCAAGTGAGGGTTGGCAGACTTATGACGATGGCCATCAAGGCCTCATATGATCCTGCCGACTCCAGGGCCTCATCTCTGTCCTTCAGCGAGGCCTCTGCTGCCTGCATGCCCTGTCCCTACAGGGCTGCATCCCCCCTACCTCTTCACATGATGTTTACTCATGTGTTTGGTTGTTGTCTATTTCTTCCATACAAACCCTTAGAAGACGGGCCCTGCCATATCTCCAGCTACTAGAAGAGCCCCTGGCACATCATAAATGCCCCTAATTATGTGTTAAATGAATGAATGAGTAGAGATTGGCCAAGAGGAGAAGAAACAAGCAACAAAGGACAGGGAACACATCCAGGCCCAAGATACTGTCCTCTTGCAGCAGTGGGGTGCAGGAGAGGCGGGGAGATGGGAGGAAGGGTACCTGAGGCCAAGTTCTGCTGGGAGGGGTCTAGGAAGAATTTTAGGCCAGGCTGTAACAGGATGTGATTTGCATTGGTACACATTTGCTTAGGCGGGAGTCTAGAGAAGATTACAGAAGGTGGGGTCAGGGTGCGGCTGGGGAGAGCAGGGTAGCACAGCCAGCCAGGAGGGAGGCCGAACTGCACAGACGCTTCTGGAAAGTGAACTCTTGCATCTTCTCGGAACCTACCCCGTCCAGTAACTGCGGTCCTTCTCTGTCTCCCTTTGTGTCTGTCACCAGCACTCTTTTTTTTTTCTTTAAAAAAATATTTATTTTATTTATTTGAAAGAGTTACAGAGAGAGGTAGAGCCAGAGAGAGAGAGAGAGAGAGAGAGAGAGAGAGAGAGGTCTTTCATCCCCTGGTTCACTCCCCAGATGGCTGCAAGGGCCAGAGCTGAGCTGATCTGAAGCCAGGAGCCAGGAGCTTCTTCTGAGTCTCCCACGTGGGTGCAGGGGCCCAAGAATTTGGGCCATCTTCTACTGCTTTCCCAGGCTATAGCAGAGAGCTGGATGGAGAGTAGAGCAGCTAGGACTTGAACCGGTGACCATATGGGATGCTGGCGCTCTAAGCCAAGGCTTTAACCTGCTGCGCCACAGTGCTGGCCCCAACACCTGCTCTCTTGACCCTTACTTCTTAGATTTCTCCTGAGTGCCACGGCAGGGAAATGCTGGCCACCCCTGAGCCCTGTTCTGTGACCTTCCCATCACCCTGCCTTTGAGCCTGTGGGTGCCGCTTCCAGGAACTGTTGGCTGCACTGCCTGTGCTTCTGTGCTGCTTTTCCTTTTACTCCTGGCTCAAGCCAGGGGCTTCCAAAACGTCTGGCCTTGACCCCTTTTCCTCTTTCCTTGCCATAGCCAAGGGCCACAGAGCGCAGTGTCTTTTCTTCCACTCTCCACGGCTGTGAGGTTACCAGTGTTTTGCTTTGCTTAGAAGTCTTTGAAAGGCCTAGGCTTCGATTTTATCCTAAGTTCCTCTACAATGTTGTCACTGTTTGCTTTCCCAGCCTTTATGTGCCATATAAGCTCCAACTCCAAGCTAGACCTAGAACTTAATATACATTCCCCTGTCTCTTGCCATCTAGAATCTTGCCCCCTGCCCCCTTCAAAGCCCTTGACTTTCTTTCTTTCTTTCTTTCTTTCTTTCTTTCTTTCTTTCTTTCTTTCTTTCTTTCTGACAAGCAGAGTGGACAGTGAGAGAGAGAGAGACATAGAGAAAGGTCTTCCTTTGCCGTTGGTTCACCCTCCAATGGCTGCTGCAGCCAGTGCGCTGCGGCCAGCGCACTACACTGATCCGAAGGCAGGATCCAGGTGCTTCTGGTCTCCCATGGGATGCAGGGCCCAAGCACGTGGGCCATCCTCCACTGTACTCCCGGGCCACAGCAGAGAGCTGGCCTGGAAGAGGGGCAACCAGGACAGAATCCGGCACCCCGACCGGGACTAGAACCCGGTGTGCCGGCGCCGCAAGGCAGAGGATTAACCTATTGAGCCGCGGTGCCGGCCTTGACTTTCTTGTAAAACTACCTCCTGGAAGAGGTGTTTTGCCTAGTATGTAAGATGCCTGCATTATGTATAGGAGTGTCTAAGCTTTATTTGTGGCTCTGACTCCTGATTCCAGCTTCCTGCTAATACAGAAACTGGGAGGCAACAGCGATGGTTCAAATAATTGGGCTCCTGCCACCCACGCAAGAGACCTGATTTGAGCTCTCTCCCTGTATCTCTTCATCTGTCTGTTTCTCTGCCTCTGAAACTGAAAAATAAAACAAATCACTCCCCCTGTTTGAAGTCTGCTGTGATGGCCGGACTCAGGCCACTGTGCACGCCTGTGCCTCCCCCATTGCCCAGATTTGCCCTGTATAGACAGATTGCCTCCAGATGGCGTGTCCTTTGGAAAGATTCTGCTGAGGTCTTCTCCAGGATTCCACGCAATTCTGGACCCACAGTGAGAGTCCAGTAGAGTTCATTTTTCCCTCCTGTTTGCCAAGTAGACCTTTCTTTATGGTGAAATGTTTACCCTACTTATCCATGAATCCGTTCCTATGAGGTTTTCTTGCACTTAGAAGGGCCTTTGGAAATATTTCTCTACTTAATAAATACATTCCCTAAACCCTCCTTTCTCTGCATTGAATATCTTTTTTGGTGTTTTTATGACCACAGTGCCCCCTGGTGGAAAGATGCTCACAGGCCAGGCCGTGAGTGTCGCATCTGCTGGGCCCCCGGCTTTGAAAAACACAAGATTAAGAGACGTGTTTTATGATCTAAAACAAAATGAGACAGAACCGTGCGATGCATATCTCAAGAGCAATTCACACCATGGGAAGTAAAGTGCCGAGTTTGGAGCTCTGTCTCGGGGCAGAAACCCTTCGCTCTCACGGCTCTGCCTTCTGCCTCCCCTTGCTCGGCCGCCTCTTCCCCCTGAGGTCAGAAGTGAGGACTGCGCTCGGGGAGCTGTGGTGCCTGTTCTTCTCAATGCTGGCCCCTCTTCCTGGAGCCCCTCTGCCTTCTGCCCTTTTAGGCTAGGTTCTCATCGCCCCTGTGCCATAAAACTGCCCCCCCCCCCCCCCACCAGGCCTTCCCACTGATCTGTCCTGCCAGACACCCAGGCCGGTTCCTGCCTGCACAGTTAAATGCACACGCACTGTGCCACCTCAGGGTGCTGCATCTCGGATGTTCTGAAATTTTTCAAAAGGACATTGATCTTTCCCGTTTCCTATGTGAGTGTCCTGTCTCGGTTGCCGGGATGCAGGGGCTTGACTCATTAATTTGGTTTGTCCTGCAAAGCAGGATCCCCTGATCCAGCATGTGGGAAGAGAACTGAGGCTGCCAGTCCTGCTGTTGATTTGTTCCGGCCTTCCTGGGTGGGGAGGTGCCGGATACACGGGTGCAGTGCTCTGGGATTTTAATCCATACAACCTTAGGCAGGCACAAGGGGATCTGATACGACTCAGTAGGACAAGAAGGCCCCCCCTTCCTCTCTCTCACCGTCCCCCTCAGCAGGCTTCAGGGAGCTCCTCTGAAGAGGTGCAGGCTCACAGGCGAGAGAGAACATTCCCTGCAAGCGAACGCACTGACATCAGAGGCGTGGGGAGAGGGAACCGAGGCTGCGTGGCTACCAGGTGGCCTCATGGGACCTAGGGGAACGGTGACCATCTTTGGTGCCAGCTCCTGTGGGGCCCCCACCCAGATGTGCTCACAAGGGAGCTGTGCTTTGTCCCCTAGGATTCTTGGGATGAGCTGCTTATTGGCGACGTGGAACTGAAACGGGTGATGGCTTGTTCCAGGTAAGGCTTCTTCCAGATCCTCCAGGGATTGGCAGGGGCAGGAAGCATGTCTTTGCCTGGTCCCCTGTGTGACGCTCTCTGTGTGTGTCCAGGTGCATTTTAACCACCGTGGACCCGGACACTGGAATCATGAACAGGAAAGAGCCACTGGAAACACTGAAGAGGTAGACCTGGGCAGATGGGGTCTCATCCTCTGGTTTAGGCACCTGGGACAGAAGTAATATTCATAGCTTAATGTCTCTAAGAGGCACGTGGCCCACAGGTGGTGTCAGGTCCCGTCTCTGCAGCCATGGAGAGCCTCGGCTTTGGTCCCGACTTGGTGTCACTATAGAAGGTTGTTGGATGGGAGGCAGGGGACTGCTTTGGGCACAGCCCTGGGATGCCTGGGGTATAGAGGGGACTGCAGCCAAGATGCGGCCATCTTACATCAAACCCGTCGGGAAGGAGCACAAGCGGGCGAGGCTGTGCCTGGGGATTGAGGAGCAGGGCTCATCCCCTGCAATGCGAGTCCTCATCCCCTGCAATGCGAGTCCTCCGGCTTCTGCTTCCTCCCGCCTCCTCCCAGTTCTGCTGCCCTAGAAGCTACTCCCCAGACCCCCTGGGCAAGCTGAAGGCCCGGGCTGGAGGCTGTGATCCCAGCCAGCCCAGTACCCCTCCGTGCGAGGCTGCAGGCCTGCACTCTCTGCCAGCACCTGCTGTCTACAGGGATGTGTCCCAGTGTGAGGGCCAGGAGACAGCAGGTTGGCATGGCGACCACGTGCCGAAGCCGGCTGGCACAGCAAGTGGTCAGGGGAGAAATCTAACAAGGAGGGTGGAGGGGGGGGGGTAAGGAGAAGGGGCTTTTACGGGACTAGAGAAATTCCCAAGGTGAAGAGTCAGTGTCTGCTTCTGACCTGGGGCCTCCAGGGTTGACAGTGAGGCTGCAAGGACATGTGGAGCTGGAGCCACGGACAGGTCCAAGGCAAATCCCGTTTTGAGGGATGTTGCATATTTTTTAGAGCTCAAAACAGCATCAACCTTTCTGTAAAATGGAAAAACGATTCTCTCCGTAAAATATCAGTGCTGTGAAACGTTGAAGGCGCTATTTTTCTCTCTGTGTAAATTTTACCTAAAGTAAGGAAAATTGTAGCTCTAGGCAGGAACTCATTCGAGGTGAAGTGTACGGAAGTCTGCAACTTTTTTGGAAATAGAAATAATAGAAATAGAAAAATATGGATTGAAGGGTGGACAACAGTGTGATAGAGCAAAAGCCATGAAGTGTTCAGTGCAGAATACAAGTAGGGGATCCGTGGTACTTTCTAAAAACTTCTTATTGGCCTGCTTGAGATTGTCTGTCATAAAGCAACGGGCAGAAATGTCACCGCGTGTGACAAAACATGAATTTGGGAAGCCGCAAGGGTAGGTGATAGCTGACCTTTAAAACCTGCCCGCTCCTCATCAGAACACGCTGGAGTTCAGCCTTCTGTCTTCCGTAGCCACACAGGAGGTACGAGGAAGAGAAAGGCAGGGTGGGCCTGGGGAGGGGTACAGGGGTGAGGAGGTGGGGCCCTGCGATCGCAGCTAGTCCTGCTCCTGCTCGTGCAGGCCCCGGGTGCGCTTCCAGTAAAATAAGGGAGATGGGGCAGCACTGGGCGGTTCTGCATGCAAGTCAGCCAAGGAATTGGGGAAACTGGCTGTCACTTTTTCCCCCTAAATTTATTTTTATTATTTACTTATTTTTGGAAAAGCAAAGAATCACAGTGAGGGGAGGGGGGACAGATTTCCCATCTGCTGGTTCATTTCCCAAATGCCCCCCCCCCCCCCCAACAGCTGGGGCTGGGCCAGGACAAAGCCAGGAGCCAGGAACTCCATCCAGGTCTCCCAACGGGGTGGCAAGGACCCAAGTACATGGGACACCACCTGCCGCCTCCCAGGGTGTACATCAGCAGGAAGCTGGACTTGACCCTAGGGACTCGGGCACTCCTTAGCTGTGGCTCCAGCGCCCACCCCATCATCCCTTTCTGTACATCTTGTTCTCTCTCTCCCGCCCCAGCGTGCTGCCTGGTGTCAGAATGGATTCCAAAGCTCCTGCACTTGCAGAAAATTCCTCTTCCCAACACCCGCGTGTTTGGGCTGTGTCTCTGTGTCTCCAGCGCCCCCTCCCTCCCTGGGAAGCTGTGTTTCTAGGTGGAGGATAACTGACCCCAAACACAGAGGTAGGGCAGGAAAGTGGGGGTCACAGAGAGCTGGCTCCCCTTCCCCCCGCCTTCTGCAGGCTCCGTGCAGCCCCTCAATCCGACCCTAATTGTGCCTAATACCCCAGGAGACTGCGGCTGGCCGAGGTGTCTTGTCCTATCTCTGACTGAGATTTAACTGCCATGGAGGTAGTAAGTTATGTGCTCCCCAGGACAGGTGCTCATAAATCAGGAGGAGAAGGGCCCGGCAGAGTCCCATAAATCAGGAGAAGGGAAGCAAACAGTGGTGTCCACAGCAGCCTCTTGCTCTCGGGCAGGTCGCTGGGAGCCACACGGGTTTGTTGTCCGTGTGGGCTTGTGGTGCCGGAAAGGCTGGCATTGCCTCTGCAATGCGAGTGCTCAGCAGGGCCAAGCAAGATGGGGAGCAGAGAGAAAACTCTCCTCTGCTCCTCCACAGGCTAATGGCGCGGGGAGCCTCTGTCTGTAAAACACGGACAGGCCTGCCTGCTCAGGGGAAATGACACTGTCCTTTCTCAAGGGACGGTGACACACACACACACACACATACACACATGCACACACACACGCATACACATACATACACGCATACACACATGCACGAGCACACATGCACACACATACACATGCGTGCACACACATGTACATGCACACACATGCACACACATGCACACACATGCATACACATACACACATGCATACACATGCACACATACCCACATGCACACACACATGCACACACACATGCACACACAGATGCACACACACGCATCCACATGTACAAACACGCACATACACGCATATACACATGCACGTGCACACATGCACACGCACACACGCATGCACACACATAACACACACATGCACACGCACACATGCATGCACAACGCACGCATACACATACACACATGCATACACATGCACACACATACACACATGCACACACGCATGCACACACACATACACATGCACACACATACACACATGCACACACACGCATACACACACATCCCAGTGGCTTAAGGAGCAGCTGTGTTGCTTCCGTGTCACCTGGCTCCTGGTAGAAAGAATAGAGCATGTTTATTGCACAGATGCTCAAAATGGTTTTGCTGATGCATGAACCCTGTGGCGACAGGACATTTGCTGTTGGTGTTAGCTGTGCTGTTATACGCACAGGGGGGACCTGGTGGTGACAGCTCCGTGGGAGGAGACAGAAGCTCCACCCCCAGTCTGGCCCTGTCGCCTACTCATGGTGAGGTGTGGGCAGGCCCTTCAGTTCTCGAAGTCCCAATTTCTTTATTTGTAAATACTGGCCTTGTGGTTTGTCTTCTGGTAAGGCAGTAAGTGGTTTGTAGTAGATGGTGAGTACTGCCTGCAATGCCGTGTAAGCTGTGGTCACTGATGGTCTCCGTTACAGACTCAGCACCTTCTGGGAGAAGGAGGAGGTGGAAGCTGCTGCTCCCCACTCTCTGAGGCTGCTTGAAATGACACCTGGGACCCGCACCCGCTCAGTGGCCAGCCTCTGGGGAGCAGCGTGGACATGGCACCTCTCTGGGGACTCCCACAGTGCTGTTTAATTCTTTTTTTTTTACAGGCAGAGTGGACAGTGAGAGAGAGAGACAGAGAGACAGAAAGAAAGGTCTTCCTTTTGCCGTTGGTTCAACCTCCAATGGCCGCCGCAGCCGGCGCGCTGTAGCCAGCGCACTACACTGATCCAAAGGCAGGAGCCAGGTGCTTCTCCTGGTCTCCCATGGGATGCAGGGCCCAAGCACTTGGGCTATCCTCCACTGCACTCCCTGGCCACAGCAGAGAGCTGGCCTGGAAGAGGGGCAACCGGGACAGAATCTGGTGCCCCAACCGGGACTAGAACCTGGTGTGCCGGCGCCGCAAGGCGGAGGATTAGCCTGTTAAGCCGTGGCGCCGGCCACCTGTTTAATTCTTAACGAGGACTTAGAGGCAGTGAGTTGTGGAACCTGTGGGACAGCCTGTGCCCCCAAGTGACTTGTGGTCACGTGGTCTGCTGGGGTGGAGACTGAGCAGTGACCAGAGACCCAGCCTGTAGCCATGGCGTGGGCCTTGGGCAGTGCATGGGTCAACCCAGCAGTGTGAAGGATGAGATGCCCTCCCAGGTGCACAGCACTTCCTGGTGGGCAGAGCGTTTTCATTTACACCACACCCTGTAAGCGAGGAGACCTCTGTTCAAGCTAAATGCCATGTCATTAGTGTCATTGCACATTTTATTTGCATTGAAAGGAAAACTGCGTGGCTGGCATTGTGGCGTAATGGGTTAAGCTACCACCTGCGATGCTGGGATCCCATGTGGACCAGCAGTTGGAGTTCTAGCTGCTCCACTTACTACAATCCAGCTCCCTGTTAATGTGCCTGGGAAAGCAATGGAGGATGGCCCAAAGTACTTGGGCCCCTGTACCCACGTGGGAGACCTGGATGAAGTTCCTGACTCCTGTATTTGGCCTGGCCCAGCCCTGGCTATTGCAGCCATTTGGAGAATGAACCAGCAGATGGAAGATTCTCTTTCTATAAAAAAGGGGGGGGAGAAAGAGAGAAAGAAAGAAAGGAGGGAAGGAAGGAAGGAAAGAAAGGAAGGAAAAAGATATTTTAAGCATTTCTAATTTGTTAATCCCAACAAATATTATGAGCATATATATGCATGTATATATATGTATGTGTATATATATGTCTATGTATATATTTGTATATATGATCATAGAAGATCAAGGTATGAAGTAATCCTGGGTTTACTAGTCTGTTGAATAGTATACTTGGCCACTTGCAGTACCTACTTATTGCCACAAGAGGTTGCTAATGACCTCATTTAGTCTTCCCACAACCCTGAGGGTGACTTGGAGGTAAGGCAGGAGGGTGGGCAGAGCTGACAGGGCGGCCCAACAGCCAGACCACTGTGACTTGAGATGTCCTGGCAGGCTGCCCAGCCAGGAACCAGTTCATTCCCATAGCTCTTCCCAAACCAGGTGACCACTTCCCCACCCCCTTTTAAAGATTTATTTATTTTGAAAGAGTTACAGAGAAACAGAGATAGAGAGATAGAGCATTAGAGAGAGAGAGAGAGAGAGAGACAGAGAGAGAGAGAAAGAGAGAGAGAGAGATCTTTCATTGGCTGGTTTATTCCTCAAATGACTGCAATGGCCAGTGCTGAGCCAGGCTGAAACCAGGAGCCAAGAGCTTCATCCAGGTCTCCCATGTGGGTGACAGAGGCCCAAACACTGACATCTACTGCAGCTTTCCCAGGCACTTTAGGAGAGAGCTGGATTGGAAGTGGAGCAGCCGGGACACGAGCTGGCACCCATATGGATGCCAGCATTGCGGGCGGCAGCTTTAACAGGTACACCACAGCGTCGACCCCATCACCTGCCTGTTTCGGCATTGACTCCTCACAGCTTACGGAGTCTGAACTAAGAGGAGCAGCAGCTTCTGGGGGTCCCCTTCAGTTACTTGGTGGAGGTGGAGAAGTGAGTGTGTAGGTATGGGGTTGATGGGAAGCTTTCTGTAGATGGATATCTTCTTGGGCCTAGGGATGTTCTTAGGAGGTGGATAGATGATAGATAGATAGATAGATAGATAGATAGATAGATAGATAGATGATAGGTAGATGATAGATAGATAGATAACAAGGGATGGATTACATTCCCAATAGGAAGAGTCTTCAATATGGAGTCAGCCAGACCTGAGCTGTAGCCACAGATTTACCAAGGAGATCTGGATCTTGGGCACCTACCAGTAAAATGAGGATATTACAAATTCCATATAGGCTTGCTATAAAGATTTAAAGAGGTAATAGGTGTGAAGTTTCTTATAAACTGTGAATGTGTGATGCACTGAACCCCAAGTGTCAATTCCCTCGCTGAGATCATCAGAGCTGGGGCTCTAGTTCCCAGACCCTGGTGGCTGTAAGATATCAGAAGCCATGAAAGTGGCTGATCTGTTCCAGGCCTGCAGAGGCCCCTCTGTGAGGCACACAGATCCTAGTTGACCCTGGCATTGCGTGTTGCAGGAGGGGAGAAGCCTGGGTTCCCGGGGTCCCAGGCCATTGCAGAAACCTCAGTATGGAGCCAGGGGTTAGCTCTGGAAGGCAGGACATCCTGGACCAGCAGCTCATTGTTATCATTCATTCTTTTATTCTTTCATTTCTTCAGTCAACATTTTTTTAGTGACTACAGCATAGCAGCTATGCAGGTAGTGGGACTCCAGCAGCAGGCGAAGCATCTGCAGTGCCTGCGGGCTGGAGTTCATGGTTTGAGACACAGGCTGGGCATCTCCAGAGAAGTTTCTAGATTTGTGTTTCTCTCTTGTGTTCTCACTGGCCATTTCTGGAATGATGGACAAAATTAGAACCAAATTAATTCAACAGTTTTCTTTTTTTTAAGCAAGGCAGAATGAAATGGATGTTCTTTGTAACAACATGTTAAACAGAAAAGTGGTGTAAAATGGGAGTTGGCTTAAATAAGAGACTGAAGGAGAACCAGGCCCTGATGGAGAAGTGTGGGGAATCTTGCCGTGTCATTCCCACACATCTGCCCATGGTCATGCTTCCTGGGCTTCTTCAGTTTTCTGCCTGACGAAGATGTCCAAACTGACTCTAATGAGGGCCTCATCCCCAACACGTTCATGCATTCAACAAACATTTGTGGTCATGGGTGACGTGGGAACCCGTGTTGGGTGTGAGCAGGACAAGGGACTTGGACATAGTCCCTGTTCTCCAGGGACTCCCTGTTTTGCAGAGCAGACAGACTTGTGCCCTGACACTGTAGGACAAAACAGGAATGTCGGAGGGGCAGAGAAAGCTGAGGAGAGGGATGTGACTCCTGGCCTGGGGGATCCTGGACTTCCTTCGTGGGAGCTGAAGCATTTGAGCTGGGTCTTGAGAAAAATGTGGAATTCTTTTTTTTTTTTTTTTTTGACAGGCAGAGTGGACAGTGAGAGAGAGAGAGAGAGAGAGAGAGAGAGAGACAGAAAGAAAGGTCTTCCTTTTCCATTGGTTCACCCCCATAATGGCCACCGCAGCCGGCGCACTGCACTGATCCAAAGCCAGGAGCCAGGTGCTTCTCCTGGTCTTCCATACGGGTACAGGGCTCAAGGACTTGGGCCATCCTCCCCTGCCTTCCCGGGCAACAGCAGAGAGCTGGACTAGAAGAGGGGCAACCAGGACAGAATCCAGCACCCCGACCGGGACTAGAACCCGGTGTGCCGGCGCCGCAGGCGGAGGATTAACCTATTGAGCCACAGCACTGGCCCGAAAATGTGGAATTCTAATGCCTAGGGAACTGGAGGAAAGGTGCTCCCAGGAATCCCTGAGGAACCACTGAGCTGGTGAAACAAAGCAAGGTGAAGGGACATGGAGGAATCCAGTGCTGCATGGTTGGAGCCAAGGAGCAGAGCATGGCGGGTTTGAAAAAGCTGGCTGGGGCCAAGTAGGGGGCTTGCACACCAGGCTGAAGGGTTGGAATGTTATTCTTTAGGCACTGGGGAGCCATTGAAGGTTTCTGAGCCTAAGAATGCTAAGAAGAGAGCAAAATTGCGACAGTAATATAGTGTAGTGTCAACAGTGAGTTGAGGGGTGGGGAGGAAGAGGAAGAAAGGTTGGTTAAGAAGTTATTACATCACCTCTAATGGAGTCTGGCCACGTTGGAAGCAAGATTGTGACAGTGGGAATGAGAAAAGGGGAGCAGAGTCCGTTGAGGTTGTGCAGGAAGCAGTTCAGGACTGGGCAACTATGGACAGGCTGTGGAAAGGAGAAAGGTGTGCAGGGTGGCCGCGGGACACCAGGCCAGAGGGGCTGGCGGAGCAGAAGTTAGAGAGGCAGACCTAGAGCAGTGAGGAGGAGGGGTGCCTAGGGGAAAAGAAGGTGATAAAGTGTGCTGGATGTGTTGAGTACCTAATCTCTTGATTCTGAAAAGGGGAACGTTAATGTAGAAGAAAGGTCTGAGGGTAGGCCACTGGCTGTGCTCCTCCAGGATGTCCACTGCCCAACTCCAGGAGCTGCTGTTTTGCTACCAATAGTGCTCTTTTTTTTCTTTTTCTCATTTTCTTTTAAGGTGATTTGCAAGGGGGAAAACAACATTTCTTTTTTCAACAGTGCTCTCTTGAGCTGTGCAGCATTCAGCCCTGTGTAGGGTGGGTTCTGGCTCCGATGGAGGAAAAGCCACATGTATTTGAGGTTTTGCTTCTGTCTGGCTGCGACTCATCAAGCTCTTTCTCCTGTTGCAGTTACCGCCAGTGTGACCCTGCTGAACAAAAGTTATATGGAAAATTACCTCTCTTCGGGCAGTATTTTGTTCTGGAAAACCCAGGGACAGTCAAAGTGGGAGATCCTGTGTACCTGCTGGGCCAGTAAGGGGAATCTGAAATATCAGATACCTTCAAAAAATGTCCTCAAAAATGGAAGCACTTCTGAGTGAACTAAGCCAGTCCCAAAGGGACAAATATCATATGTTCCCCTGATCGGTGACAACTAACTGAGCACCAAAGGGGAAACCTGTTGAAGTGAAATAGACACTATGAGAAACAGTGACTTGATCAGCTCTTGTCCTGACTGTTGATGTACAATGTAATACTTTATCCATTTTAGTATTTTTTTGTTCTAGTACCATTGGTTGAACTCTGTAATTAACACACAATTATTCTTAGGTGTTTAAATTTTAACTGAAAAGTGATCCCTGTTAGAAATTTAGAAACCATTATGCTGAGTGTAATAAGCCAATCCCAAAGGGACAAATACCACTTGTTCTCCTTAATAGGTGACAACTAACTGAGCACCAAAAAGGAAACCTGTTAAAGTGAAATGAACACTATGAGAAACGGTGACTTGATCAGCCCTCACCCTGACTGTTGATGAGCAACTTGATATGTTATCCCTCTTAGTATTTTTTTTGTTTGTTCTACTTAATACCTTTGGTTGAATGCTGTAATCAATACACAATTCTTCTTAAGTGCTGAAACTTAACTGAAAAGTGATGGCTGTTAAATGTAAGAGTGGGAATAAGAGAGGGAAGAGATGTGCAATTCGGGACATGTTCAAGCTGACTTACCTCAAACGGTAGAGTTAGAAACATACCAGGGGATTCCAATTCAATCCTATCAAGGTGGCATGTACCAATGCCATCCCACTAGTCCCAGTGATCAATTTCTGTTCACAATTGATCATAATGATAGGACTAAGAACCAAAGGGATCACATAAACAAAAATAGTGTCTGCAAATACTAGCTGATAGAATAAAAAAGGGAGAGAATGATCCAACATGGGAAGTGAGATACACAGCAAACCCATAGAATGGCAGATGTCCTAAACAGCACTCTGGCCTCAGAATCAGCCCTTAAGGCATGCAGATCTGGCTGAAAAGCCCATGAAACTATTTCAGGCATGGAAAGCCAAGACACTCTGGGAGGGGGGGAAACCTTAATGAAAGATCTCTGCAAGTGAGATCCCAGTGGAAAGAATGGGTCATCAAAGAAGGAGGTACCTTTCTCTGAAGGGAGGAGAGAACTTCCACTTTGACCATGGCCTTGTCTAAATATGATCAGAGTCAGTGAACTCAGGGGGCTTCCATAGCCTTGACAGCTCATGACAAGAGCCTAGGGTGATTACTGATGCCATAAACAAGAGTGTCAGTTTGTTAAGTCAACAACAGGAGTCACTGTGCACTTACTGCTCATGTAGGATCTTTGTCCTTAGTGTGCTGTACATTGAGATTTAATGCTATAACTAGTACTCAAACAGTATTTTTCACTTTATGTTTCTGTGTGGGAGCAAACTGTTGAAATCTTTACTTAATGTATGCCCAACTTATCTTCTGTATATAAAGAGAATCGAAAATGAATCTTGATGTGAATGGAAGGGGAGAGGGAGTGGGAAAGGGGAGGGTTGCGGGTGGGAGGGACTTTATGGGGGGGGAAGCCATTGTAATCCATAAGCTGTACTTTGAAAATTTATATTCATTAAATAAAAGTTTGAAAGCAAAAAAAAAAAAAAAACCAGATTCTTAAAACTCCCCACTTAACTTTGATTATGGAAGAATATGGAATTCTTTCTCCTGGTTCTTCATGCACCTACTGACAATGCAGACCTTCAATGTCTCACTATGATTCTCTAGGGAAAGACGAAAGAAGAGAAGGAGGAAGAATTGAATGAGCAGATCTGGAATGCTCTGGGTTGTTTTACTGCCCCTGTGCATTGGGCATGTGATGGAAATTAAAGAGTTCCTTGAGTAAAGATGGAATATCAGGAAGCTTTTCCCTCAGGCCCCTGGCTGACTTTTGAAAAGGGCATAAGAACCTGATCTTCAGGAAGCATTCGGGATACCAATTTTCCATAGATGTTCTTGGATCTGCACTGTTGCCTCTCAGACGGTGGCCACGAGGACTGGGTGGATCCTTTATAGCATGCAAAAGTGGGACAGCCAAAGAAGTGTCAGGGAGAAAACAAATTCACAAGAGCTGCCAGACTCTGATCTGGATTCTGTGAAAAGTCAGGTAACATCTTTCCATGAAACACAAGGTCACATATATCCCTTGCAGCTTCAAAACCTCTCCTGAGATACAGGAGTGAACAGTGGCACCACATAGGGAAGGAGCTCCGGTTTGCTGTTTCCAAGATGTTGCCCAGGGAGATAAAAATGCATCTTCCTAAGGGCATAAAGAAATGGTCCTGAAAAGAGACAGTGCCACCTAGTGGGAGTGAATGGCAGCTCAGCCCACAGGGTGGGAAGGGTTGGAAAAAACACAGATGGATAGCGCAGTTTTTTGTCTTATATAAATTTTTATGTTCCTTGCACCTCTGCTGTAAGCACTTGACTTCCTAAAAACACTCAGGGGGTGGCTGTACCATCATGGACGCCTCCTGCATCCTGGCTGGTGCCCTCAACTTGTATATGGGTGCTCTTCCAATTGAGGATGGAGAAGTTCTGAAGTCCATGAAGACATGTGATTGTCTGATTTTAAATAATCCATTGAAAACATTTAAAAGGAGAAAAGGAAAACATTTGTCAGTTTGTTGAAACTCAGGGTCAAATTTTTCTATTGATCTCATGCTCTAAGATTGACCAAATCATGAAAAGAGGGGTTCAAAAACATGTGAATAATTGGGAGAGGCTTTGACTGGTTTCAGATCATCCTAATTTTTTGTCCCTGAGTCAGCCTTTGAAAGCTGATTGGTGACTTTGCAAACCAGGCGTCTTAACCTCAAGGTCAGATGCCCATCTTGAGCATTGTCTTTGAAGGACATGCTTTTTAGGAAGAGCAGTGCATTTCTCACTGTGGTTTTCAAAAAGAGGTCAGTAATGACTGGACTCTAGCTGAGCTCTGAAACAGCGACAAGAGGATGTGTGTAAATGTTTTCTGGTTGGTGAATTATTGCAATTTGTTTTCTACACACTTGGTGGGAAGTGGATAATTGACACAATTATGTAGGGGCAGACATTTGGCCTAGCAGTTACGACATCTCATCCCAAGTGGGAGTAGCTGGATTTGACCCGGCTGGATCTACTGACTCCAGCTTCCTGCTAATGCCTACCTTCAGAGACACCAAGGATGGATCAAGCAACTAGGTCCCCACCACCCACATGTGAGACCTGGGTTGAGTTCCTGGTTGCTAGGTTTGGTCTGGTCCCATGCCTGGTGTTTTGGGAATTTGGAGAGTGAACCAGCACTTGGGAACTCTAAGTGTCTCTCCAATCAATCAATCAGTTATCCAGGTAATCTGAGCCATCATCCTCCCCAGTAAATACACTTCATACTGAGTAGACTGAGGCATACAGATAGACTGGGACCAAAAGATGAGCTCAGCGTCAGCGCTGGTAACAGGACCTCAAGAACCACTGGTTGAAAGCACTCAGGATTTGAATCTCCAGAAGCAGGGAGCAGTTAGGGACCAATCAGAAACCCAAGACTGGGCTTGGTGGCTATTCCTAGGAGTTTGATTCTTGGAAAACTGAATGCTTTAGGCTTGAACTTCTAACTCTTTGTAAGGATTAACATCCACTTCTCCATACGCAGCCCTTTGTTAGAGGCCACACTTCAGATATACCCCATGGTTCTCTACAAATAGGTAGCTGGCATTGGCAGGCAACCCTCATATGCAAGGGGGCACTGAGACTCCTTTCTCTCTTGGTGGGAGTCCCTGCTGCTCAGAGTGTCAGGAAGATTCCAGTTTGAAGATAGAAGTTCCAATGACCTCCAGAATCTCAGAGTAGTTGCCAAACATGCTGTCAGTGAGATTTAAAAGCCATTTGCTTGTGTTTATTTTATATTTAATGAGTTGGTTCATGCCAAAAGTGAAGCTGATGTCCCATTTATTTTGGATGCTGAACGTTTGCACACAATTCTACTTGAAATATAGGATCAGGAATGCAGGCCATCACTGACCCTCCGAAGGATCTCCTTACACCGGTGGGTGGTGGACATTCGAGGTCAGGAGAAGACATCCGGCCTCGATGGGCATTCATTCTGTGTGGCAATTTGTGCTGCGATCACAGTGGGGAATTGCAAACCCAGAGCTGGAGAGTTTGGAAAGGAGCACGTGGCAAAGCTCCAGCTGGGCTACCTGGATGGCTGACTCTCCTGACTTCCACAGAAGTTAGAGACCTGCTGCAGGACACCAAAGCAGCAGCTTAGGAACATAGTGGCAGGAAGGAATCAGGGTGGGCCTGATGGCAATGAGGTAATCGTACAATGAGAAACATTCCTCCTCATCTTTGATCCTTACTGAGAATGGGGCGAGAAGAGGAGCTTGTGGGAGGGCTGTCAACTTGATCAGAGTGTGTGGTGGTCGGGTGAGCTAGACTAGCCCAATTTGACTTTGGATGGCCAGCTTGGAGGCTGTCACCAACCATGATTGAAGGCTAGAGCTTCAGGCCAGCGTCCCCAGAACTCTAAGGGTGTGACAAGTTAAAACAATCAATGATGACAGGAAACAGATACATCAGAGTCCCTTGAAAGGGATAGAGCAAGTCCAGGTGTCTGTACCACACCCTAGCATTGCATTCCCCAAAGTTCTGTTGGTTCGTGGGATTCTGAAAGTTTTCCAGGAGAGATGATCCTAAACAAGAATTCTAAGCAGCATGTATGTTTGGGAATCCTGCATGCCTCACTCCTCTTCCAAGGCAGAACAGCCTGCTTGAGGCTCAGGAGAGACCTGCATGAAGACATCTGTGTTTAATACAGCCCCTCCGGAGAGTTTGGTTTTGATTGCCTTCTGAGAAACATCACTGTGGTCTGCAGAGGGAGTGCTGGCCAGGGGCAAGGAACTCCAGTCAGCAGGAGTGGGGCATGGATGAGAAGACATTGAAAGCGGCCCTGCCACATGGAAGAGGCCCCTCTTGGGAAGCTTTCTTTTCTCCTTCGCCCCTCTGGTTGGTACAAAGGATGGGAGTGAGGCTTGAGAGGTTAAAGGAGGCACAGAGACCAGTTCTCCTGTTGTGGGCTTTAGGGAGGAACATTCCCTTTCTTTGGGCTCCTTTTCTGAACCTGCAGTCATGAAGGTTAGCATGGATCAAAGTGAGGGGTGGGGAACCCTGGCTCTCTTTCTGTCCTGGTCTTACAACAATGCCACGCCATCACAGTGCTCCAGGGTGCTTCATGTACCAGAGAGGTCTGTCTGCTGCCTTTACCTTTCTGTTGCAATTCCTCTCAACTAGTTACCTCCCACCCGGGGAAGCAGAGTTACCCTGAGTTTCTATTGCCCAACCACACATCTGCACTGACTTTATACAATGCTCTCATCAAAGCCAGAACAGATATTGCTTGCTTCTACCACCATCTTAGACATGGATGAGTAACTTACCATAACATCTAAAGATACACAGTTTCAAACAAAGAGAAGAGTCTAGTTTGGCACTATAGATGTTCTTGGAATTGGGATAATAAAAATGTATCTGAGGTGTATCCTTTGTCTGCCCTTACTGCACTGTCTTTAGAGGAAGAGGCCCAGGCCACAGCCTTGACTGTAATTCTCTCTCTAAGCAGCTGATGGGGAACCAGGGGCTGGGGTGGGAGGAGCACCTGCCCTCTTGCTCTCTGGTTTGGCTCACAGAGAGGAGATGCTGTAATTATATTATTAGTTTTCCTGGACAGGCTGTAGGTTGTATTAAGTAACAAAAGGGGCCAAGAAGTGACTTTGCATTCAGCTTCTTCCAAGGCTGTTTTTGATGGGTGGGTCAGGTTCACTCACATTTGGCTATTGAGCAATCTAATGCACTCGCCCTTGGTGGTCCTTGGTCATGCTGCCTTACCTTCATAGAGCATTCTAGACTGTCCTTCCTCTTGCCTCCCTTGTGAGCGCCACAGAGTCCTTGACTCTTCCCTTCCACTCACTTCTCGTGCTCTCGGGTACTCCTTGACCCATGTCTTCAGTAGTCCAGTTTGCAGCCTTGGTGCAGCCCTGTGGAATTAAGT